GCATCAACAGTAAGACCTTTTGTTGAAAATGTATTTTTGCAATGTAATATTTGTAAAGAAAATAAATGCAACTGTAATATTTGATGTAATTAAATACAAAAAGTAAAGTGTAGAATTGAAAAAGATAATCATATCTTAATAAATTTGATATTTCCAAAAATTACGTAAATTACTTACGTAGTAGATTTTTAAGAAAAAAAAATATATATACATATATTGAATTTTTATTACCTCGTTCTTAATTTGGGCGTTGCTCGTGCTATTCAGTACATCATGAATGATTGTATTGATCTCTTGAGCCTGGTTCTTACCAGTCTCACAGGCCCATACAGTTAGGATTATTTTTAAAATATAAAACGTTATTGACAATAAAACATGAAAAAAATGCATATCAAAAGTAATGTGTATTCCATTTTGCCAACGCACTGTATGATAATAAACTTCAAAAATGATTCCAGAAAAGGTCATGACTATAGTAGCATGAAGTTGCAAACTGAAGATTAGATTCAATTTTTGCACTGTGTCATTAATCATTAGATGCTGCTTTTGCAGAATTTTAAGTTGTATTAAAAAAAGTTGATTTCTCTGTATGTGATAGATCAGCCTAGGTACACACGGTTTTACTACGAGTTTTTGTAAATATGCCATATTTTCGTTAAGTCTTTTAAAACATGCTTTTAACACACATATACAATTTATATACAACATATTTATCTCAAACTCCAGCAGAGTTAAATATCCAACGAACACTACGATGAAGACATCCTTATAGTTTAATTTAAACATGTTATTTCTAAAAGAATATATGCTTATTTGCATGATTGAGAATATAATACCAAATATATCCTTGATATGAATTAATTTGGATAACTTTTGATAACATTCTGGGGGTAATGTCGAAGATATTTTCAAAATAGTCTGTAACAAGCGCATTCGCGAACCGCTTAAAATGTGTGTGATGATCATTATGAAACCATTGCACACGTAATAACAGACAAATTTAAGAGTTTCAGTTGTATCGAATAGATTAGATTTAGAAATACAATCGTGAATGATTAGTAGATCACAAATGCCGCAAGTGCAGATAATGATGGTCAACAGGATAAAGTATCGTTTTGAAATCTCAAAAGTCGAAGCATTGATCTTGTACGGAAATATTCCGAGGATACGGCAAAAAGTGAAACAGGGATACATTAAAGATTGAAAATCCGTGGCATGGAATAGCAAACATCGTTTCCACATTTTGTCTCCTTGGTATACCTTTAAATTATCGAATTGAACACGATTAGCACAAATTTTTGGGAAAATAACAATCTATTATAATCGACAGTCAAATGTTATTCAGTATACTTCAGAATTAATATAGATGAAGTTGCGATAGTTTTTATTTTAAATGTAATCTTCAAATCAATTTCTTTGTAATAAGTATGTAAATTGATCCACGTGTTACCTAGACTCGATGAGTTTCAATTAAGAACTGCAAACGTGCTGTGTATGGCAGAGAGACAAAACTGAAGAAACCATTTGTTAGTAATGAAGTAACCATAGCGTTCTTCGGTCGGCGTTACAGAAATGTAAAGGGTGCTCATATTTCCTGCAGAGAGTGCTCATAATACTCGATCCTATTTATTATAAATATATCAAGAAAAAAAGAATTAACGTTTCGAGACCACAGCTCCTTCTTCAGCAATAATTAAACATACAATAATTTAAAATATATAATAATTTATAATCAAAATATGTATTGTAATATACGTATGAATCAATAACTCTTGAAGGTATTATAATAATACACAACGATGAATTAGGATATACAGTAAGGAGACATAGGGATTATTCGTTAGTTTTGAGGTAAATAATAAATTCTTCAGTTGTCGTTTATTACTCTTAAAATATAGCGTTATATACATATATGATTATATGTATATATGTAATTATTATATGTATTATTTCAGTACATCAGTAATATATCAATCTTTGTATACACAATGCGGAAAGTACACAATATTTGTGTAGATCAAATAATATTTAAATTACTAGATTCATTATAATCATAATTACAATAACGATTAATTTTATTTTTTACATTGTATACAATACATACATTATAGATAATTTTAACATATAATTTTGAAGTATATTTTTGTACTATAGGTTGATGATTTAATATTGTTAACTCTTTAGTATAATCTTTAATATTATTAACTCTTATAGTATAATCTTTACTTATTTTACGCTTATTATACAGTTAAACAAATTAATTATAAATTAATTTGGACAATTTATTAAATGTATTAAGTTAAATTTAATTTTTTAATAATTGTATATTTGAAAATTTATGTTTTGAAGAATATGAACAGTAATATGAAAAGTACAAGGTGAACAAAATAATTATTAATATATTGAGGAGAATACAGTAATAATACTATTATAATGATTAAAATTAATCTTATTATATATCTACATGAAAGAAATATTTTCCATAATAGAATTTGTTACAGATGTGTCATATTTTATGAATTCCATTATGCAGAATGACATTTATTAAATAACATTTATTATAAAATATTAAAAAATTACATCTATACTCTATAAACTAAATTGATACTAAAATGCTTCTGGAGGATTAACATAGACATAGTAAAACATTTTATTTAAATATATGTATGCATATATGTATATACGATTCTGTAAATATAAAAAGATCTCTTTCTTATTATATATCTCATTTTATATAACTGAATTATTTGTGATACTAATTCCAGATCTTTCATCACAAGAATGTCCGGCAATTAAAAATTGTATCAAAATTAACATATATGTCGTGATGCCACCCACCATCTAAAAACAATAATTTAAAATATAATCTTTTATTAATTAAAGCAACAAATTGATTACTTACTGCTGCGAGAAGTGTCGCGTCCATAGCGAGACCTTTTGTTAAAAATGTATTCTTACAATGCAATATTTGCAAAGAAAATAATTGCAACTGCAACGTTAAATCGCAAAACAATCAAATGCAAAAACGAAAAAAGGTGGGTATTAGTAAACAAAAAAGATAATATTAATAAACATAGTGTTAGCGGATTTAATAGTAAATACGCACAAAATTATGTCCATAAATTCTATACTATATTCAAAAAAATTACCTCGACTTTGATTTGGTTATCTCTTGTACTATTAAGTACGTCGTAAATAGTAGTGCCGATCTCTCGGGATTGATTCTTGCCAGTCTCGCAGGCCCATACAATTAGCATTACTTTCATAACATATTGCACCATGGTTGTCAAAATCGCGTCAAGAAGATGCCGATCAAATGTAATGATGACCTCGCCTTGCCAGTGCACTATGTAATCATATAATCCAGCAGTAATTTGAGCAAAGGTCACGGTTACAGTTGCAAGAAGTTGCAAGCTGAAGATTATGTTTAGCAGTTGCACAGTTTCATTAATTATTAGATGCTGTCTCATCAAAATTTTGAGTTCTATTAAAAAAATTTGATTTCTCTGCGTTGAGCAAATTAAACTAGGAACAGATGATTTTATATCGTTTGTCATGAGTCTTTGCATGTAATTCAGATCGTCGTTGATTTTTTTGAAACAGGCTTTTAATACACAAGCACAATTTACATACAGCATAGTCATGTGAAACTCTAGCTGAAGTAAATATACTAAAAATGCTGTGATTAGACATCTAAGAATCCAATGATTTGTTTCAAATAATCGCATTTTAGAGAAATACACGTATTCTTGTACGGCTAACAAGATAACACTCAAGACATCCTTGGTATGGATCAATCTGGATAATTTCTGATAGGTTTCTGATGGTAAAACTTTTGAAGAAATTTCCCAAATTTTTTGTAGTAAGCGCATTCGTGGATTACTTAAGATGTGCGTGAGTATCATTATCAAACCATTGAATGTAAAGAAACAAACAGCCTCAAAGTTTCTAACTATACTTCCAAGGGTAATTATTTTTGAAATAATAAAACCGTGATTGATCAATAGGCATGAAACGAAGGAAATGCAAATAATCACGACCGATAGGATATAACGTGGTTTTGATATCTCGAAATTCGAAGCATTGATCTTGTATGGAAATATTCCAAGAATACCGCAATTAAAGAAGCAAGGGTACATTAAGGATTTAAAATCCGTGGCATGCAATAACTGCCATTTTTTCTTCATTTTTTCTTGAATTTTTGCACTGAACATAATTAATAACAATTTTTAGGAGAATAATAGTCTGTATTACAATCTATATATTATATATCTTAAATATTAGTCAATTCATTTAGTCAATATACTGAATTATTAGAATTAACACGGATATAATAACTTTTTAGCTAAGTGTAGTATTTATGTCCATCTCTTTCTTTCTCTCTTTTTTCTCCCTCTTTTTTCTCTCTATCTCTATCTTTTTCACTTTCTGTAATGCCTGTATTAACTATAATGCGGATTTTTTATTTTATACACGCTCAATGAGTTTTAACTTAAAACTGTCAGCAAATGCTACATATAACAAGGAGGCAAAGCTAAAGAAGCCTTTGTTTGTAAGAAAGTAACCATGGTGTTCTTCGATCGTCATTTCTCATCCTTGCAATATTTGTATAAAAAATATATGCCAATTATTTATATGTCAAATATTGCGAAGAATATTACTACGCCTTTAATAGTCTAAAAACTTAAACTATAAAGTGCTGTAAGATGCTAGTGAGTACGTCGCGATGCTGATCTTTTGAGCTACATGTTTATTATAATCCATAAACAACATGTTACTGCAAGTCAATTCCTCTTTATACTATAACAAAACTCAGAAGATAAAATATGGATTTATATTTAACTCAGTATTAACGTAGATATAGTGGAACATTTTATTTAAATACATGTATACGTATAATGTATATACGATTCTATGTAAATATAAACAGGTCTCTTTTTTATTATGTATCTTATTTTATATAATTGAATTATTTGTAATACTGATTCCAGATTTTTCATCACAAGAATGTGCCGCGATTAGAAATTGTGTAAAAATTAACACGTATGTCGTGATGCCACCCACCATCTAAAAACAATACTTTAAAATATAAATACATCTCCTATTACTTAAAGCAACAAATTGATTACTTACTACTGCGAGAAGCGTAGCGTCCATAGCGAGACCTTTTGTCAAAAATGTATTTTTGCAATGCAATATTTGTAAAGAAAAGAGTTGCAACTGCAACATCAAGTGTTTAAAAGAATTAAATGGAAGAACGGAAAAAATGATTATTGTGAATGAATTAGTAAACATAATTTTAGTAAATTAAATAAAAGTTAAAAAATTGTTTTGAATAAACAATATATATTCAAAAAAATTACCTCGCCCCTGATTTGCTTATCTCTTGTACTATTAAGTATGTCACAAATAGTAGTGCCGATCTCTCGGGCTTGATTCTTGCCAGTCTCACAGGCCCATACAATTGGTATTACTTTCATAACATAATACACCATGGCTGTTAAAAACATATCGAGAAGATGCTGATTAAAAGTAATGATTACCTCGCCTTGCCAATGCACTATGAAATCATATAGTTCACAAGTAATTTCAGCAAAAGTCACGATTACAGTTGCAAGAAGTTGCAAGCTAAAGATTATGTTTAGCAGTTGCACAGTTTCATTAATTATTAGATGCCGTTTCATCAAAATTTTGAGTTCTATTAAAAAAATTTGATTTCTCTGCGTTGAGCAAATTAAACTAGGAACAGATGATTTTATATCGTTTGTCATGAGTCTTTGCATGTAATTCAGATCGTCGTTGATTTTTTTGAAACAGGCTTTTAATACACAAACACAATTTACATACAGCATATTCATGTGAAACTCAAGCTGAAATAAATATATTGTAAATGCTGTGATTAGGCATTTAACAATCCAATTATTTGTTTCAAATCGCAATTTAGAGAAATATATGTATTCTTTCACAGCTATCAAGATGATACTCAAGACATCCTTGGTATGGATCAATCTGGATAACTTTAAATATGTCTCTGATGGTAAAAGTTTTGAAGAGATTTCCCATATTTTTTGTAGTAAGCGCATTCGTGGATTACTTAAAATGTGCGTAAGTATCATTATCAAAGCATTGAACGTAAAAAAACAGACAGCCTCAATGTTTCTAATTAGATTTCCAATGGTAATTGTTTTAGAAATAATAATACCGTGATTGGCCATCAGGCATAAAACGAAGGAAACACAAATAATCACGATCGACAGGATATAGCGTGGTTTTGAAATCTCGAAATTTGAAGTATTGATCTTGTACGGAAATATTCCAAGAATTCCACAATAGAAGAAGCAAGGATACATTAAGGATTGAAAATCCGTGGCGTGCAACAGCTGCCATCTTTTCTTCATGTTTCCTTTGATTTTTCGAACTGAACACAATTAGTAAAAATTCTTGAAGAGTAACAGTCTGTATCACAATCTGTATCCTAAATATTAGTTAATACATTCAATTAATACACTGAATTATCAGAATTAATACGGTTTTAATAGCTTTTTAACTAACAATAAGTTTAATATTTAGGTCCGTCTTTCCTCTCCTTCTCCTTCCCCCCTCTCTTTCTCTCTCTTTTTCTCTCTCTCTCTCTCTCTCTCTCTCCTCTCTCTCTTTCACTCTCTCTCTCTCTCTCTCTCTCTCTCTTTCTCTCTCTGCAATGCTTATATTAACTAAGACGTAAATTTTTTATTTTATATACACTCGGTGAATTTTAACTTATAACTGCCAGCAAATGCTACGTGTAGCAAAGAGACAAAGCTGAAAAGTCTTTGTTAGTAAAGAAGTAACCATGACGTTTTTCGATCGTTATTTCTCACTCTTGCGATATTTATACAAAAAGTATATAGTATATGTTATTATTCAAATGCCAATTATTACGACGAATATTACTAAGGTCTCGATAGTTTAAAAACTTAGGACGCTCGTACAGAATGCAAGAGATTCAGGTTCCCGGCTGAGGTCATATTTCCTGCAATAAGAATTAATTACTTACAGATTTTAATATGTCGCTTAGCATTATTAAGATTGCGAAAGATGCGAAAGAGCATCACATTGTTAAATTATTAGTTAATTTAACTCGTGATGTTACTGCGGTAGTTCTGTAGAGTTTTTGTTCCAAGATCCAAAAATCATTTTAGCTCACATTTTAGGGGACTACATACGTAGGATATAAATTCACACATAATCTTATAAGCACTTAAGATCCAGCTACACCGTTTAAAGCATTGATTTCTAGAGATTGTGTTTATACAAAAAAATATTATGTGAAATTGTGACTTATAAATTATGTACATATACAAAATAGAATAGTGTACATTATAGATTGTGTAAAATTTGTATGAACAGTAATTCTAAAACTTTTATTATATTAATTTTATCATATCAAGACTTTTTGATTTCTTATTTTCTTTCGTTCTTTCTCTTACTCTGAATACAAAAAATTAATTCGAATTTGTTAAGTGAACGCGTATCAGGATTCATAAGAATAGCTTTTTCAATTTAATCAAAAAAACATCGCGCAAAAAAACTTCTAATTTTGAGTCAAGTGATGTCAAGGCATAATAATCACAATTAACATCAATATAATAATCAACCGTGTAGTATAAATTATGAATTTTTAACGAATTGTTAAAATTGTCTGCAAAGTTTTTCAACTTAAGTTATATTAACAATATAAGAATCTTTATTTTGGACCGCATATGTGGGAAATGCAATCAATAAAAAAAATACCTATTGTTTTTCTTGATGGTAGCATCAAATTATTAAATTGCTTATCAATTTAAGTCACGCGCGCGCGGCGTGATTATTAGAGTAGTTTTAATTGCGGTTATAATCCGGAAAAACAATTCGGCGTGCAGTTCTAAAAGACTACAATACGATACATGTGCAAGTACATATATAGTGTATGTTAGTAATTTAAGATTAAATTATTTAAAGCAATGAAGATCCAGCTTTGACCGTAATAAGCATTTTTCTAGTATTAATTATGTTATATTATCTTGCTATTGTCCTTTATTCGCTTATTATCTTTCTATCATTATAATAAAATGATTTTTATTACATTGAAGCAGGATTAGAAATGATAATAGATTTTAACATGGTTTTTGTTGTTGATTTAGTAATCTTAAAGAAGGGATTGTAATAAAGTATTTCTTCCCCCTTCCAAATTCATATTAGCTTCGTAATTTCTTAAAAGAATATGATTCTGAATCTCGTCTTTTATGAATCACAATATTTGGAGTTTGAACAATTTATAGGAGAGTTAGCAATTGAGGCTGATATGGAGGTATATTTTCCCTTTAGTTTGAATTTGTAGGGGATGCCAAAAATGGCATTTATCACAACCTCTCCTTTAAAACAGCGTACAATTTCTATACCTATAGAATAACATATCTCAGGGATGATTTAGTTTTGAAGTAAATAATGGTACCATTTTTCTGTCGCTATTTGTTATTCTTGCAATGTAAAGTATAATATGATTATGTAATATATTCAACTTTTGCACATACAAAAAACGAATGCACATCGATTGAATAACTTTTGAATTATTATATCTGTTAATAATGATTATAATAACAATTAATTTTATTTTCTACATTCTATATGATATTTACGAGTACATACGGGATTCTGCATAGTATTTTGGCACATGAAAACAAGTCGAAAATTTCTAATAAACTTATTTCCGATTCTAAATGGTTTCGGAGTTACAGTATTGAAATAAGAAAAAAGAAATAATAATAACATAAATTTTAACATAAGTTTATATTATCTTATTATTACACAACATATTGTAACAATATGTTAATTGATACTTTTATGTTGATCAAAATCATTACTTATTTTACAAATATTATACAGTTAAATATAATATAAGTATAAATTATTTTCTCCAATTTATTAGAATGTAACACAAATGAAACTTAATTTATTTTCTTATAATATTATGTGTTTAAAAATAATCAAATTGCATTATATATGCTCTAAAAGACGTTGATATGGAAAGCACAAAGACAAATAAACTATTAATAAACTGATGAGAATGCAATATTATTGCCATTATATTATTTAGAATTATATCTCTAGAGTAAAACTAATCGATGTATTTTCAACAACAAAATTCTTAATAAGTTTGTCATAATTTATCGATTACATGTTGACGCAGGATGACAGTTTCTTTTTATATTTCTGCACAAATATAATGATGCAGTAGCGATTAACCTTTAATTAATACAGATACAATAAAAGATTTTATTTTTACGTCCATTTTTATTTACATATATACAAGTGATTACAAATATGTATACATAAGTACAAAAAAACTATTTTTTGTTATTATATATTTTATTTTATATAATTAATGGTAGTATTGTTTCCATCGCAAGAATGTAATGTGATCAAAAATTGTATTATAATTAACAAGTACGTCATGATGTTACCCACAAACTGCAATCAATAATTTAAAATATATATGTGAACGACATACGTCTTTCAATTAAAGTAAATAATCGATTACATACTGTTATAAGAAGCGTCGCATCTACAGTGAGACCTTTTATCGAAAATGTATTTTTGCAATGTAGTATTTGTAAAGAAAACAGCTGCAACTGCAATATTAGATTTCAATGTAATTAAATACAAGAAGAAAAACGTAGAATTAAAGAACATGTTTTAGTAAATATAATGTTTTTAAATATTATTTTAACGTACACTTGATATTTACCAAATACATATATGTATAGATAATTGAATATAATTTCTTATTACCTCGTTCTTAATTTGCTCGTTGCTAGTGCTATTCAGTACATCATGAATGATGGTTCTGATCTCTTGAGCCTGATTCTTACTAGTCTCACAAGCCCATGTAATTAGGATTATTTTTAGAATATAAAACGTTATCGACATTGAAAACACTTCAAGAGAGTGCATATCAAAAGTAATGTGTATTCCATTTTGCCAACGCACTGTATGATAATAAACTTCAAAAATGATTCCAGAAAAGGTCATGACTATAGTAGCATGAAGTTGCAAACTGAAGATTAGATTCAATTTTTGCACTGTGTCATTAATCATTAGATGCTGTTTTTGCAGAATTTTGAGTTGTATTAAAAAAAGTTGATTTCTCTGTATGTGATAGATCAGCCTAGGTACACACGGTTTTACTACGAGTTTTTGTAAATATGCCATATTTTCGTTAAGTCTTTTAAAACATGCTTTTAACACACATATACAATTTATATACAACATATTTATCTCAAACTCCAGCAGAGTTAAATATCCAGTGAACACTACGGTGAAGACATCCTTGTAGTTTAATTTAAGCATGTGATATCTAAAAGAATAAATGCTTATTTGCACGACTAACAATATTGTACCAAAAATGTCTTTGATATGGATTAATTTGGATAACTGTCGATAAGACTCTGGAGGTAATGTTGAAGATATCTTGGAAATAGTCTGTAACAGGCGCATTCGCGGACCGCTCAAAATATGCGTGATGATCATTATGAAATCATTGCACGCATAATAACAGACAATTTCAAGAGTTTTAGTTATGTCTGATAGATTAGATTTAGAAATATAATCGTAAATGATTAATAGATTAATGCCGCAAGCGCAGATAATGATGATCAACAGGATAAAGTATCGTTTTGAAATCTCAAAAGTCGAAGCATCGATTTTGTACGGAAATATTCCGAGGATACGGCAAAAAGTGAAACAGGGATACATTAAAGATTGAAAATCCGTGGCATGGAATAATAAACATCGTTTCCACATTTTGTCTCCTTGGTATACCTTTAAATTATCAAATTGAACACGATTAGCACAAATTCTTGGAAAAATAACACTCTATTATAATCTACAGTCAAATGTTATTCATCAGTATACTTCAGAATTAATATAGATGAGGTTGCGATAGTTTTTATTTTAAATGTAATCTTCAAATCAATTTCTTTGTAATAAGTATGTAAATTGATCCACGTGTTACCTAGACTCGATGAGTTTCAATTAAGAACTGCAAACGTGCTGTGTATGGCAGAGAGACAAAACTGAAGAAACCATTTGTTAGTAGCGAAGTAACCATGGAGTTCTTCGATTGACACTTTTTGGAGATCGATTAGAAAAAGAATTTCGTCAAATTGTACATTACGTAACTTGTAATTATGTGTGTATATATACATATAAAATAAAATATTACACATAAATTCTGTAATATTCAAAACAAAACTATAAAAAAATGTGTCAAATCAATGATCGAGCTCACTAAGGAAATTATAAATAAATTTTAGCACATTTTTGTTATATCAAAAAACAAGAATAAACGTTTTTAGACTACAAATTGTTCTTCAGTAATAATTAAACATACAATAATTTAAAATCAAAATGTGCAATATTTTTATGAATCAATAACTTTTGAAGATATTACAATAATACACAACTATGAATTTTAATATAAAGTATGACGACATATCTTAGGAATTATTCGTTAGTTTTGAGGTTAATAATAAATTCTTCAGTCGTTTATCATTTTTAGGCTATAGTGTTGTATATAATTATATGTAATTGTTTTAGTACAGTCAGTAATATATTAACTTTATGCGTACATAAAGCAGAAAATACACAATATATTTACGTAGATCAAATATATTTAAATTACTAGATCTTAATCATAATTACAATAACGATTAATTTTATTTTTTATATTGTATACAATACATACGTTATAGATAATTTTAACGTATAATTTGAGGTATATTTTTTTACCATAATTTGATGATATTTAATATTGTTAGATTTTTATATCTTTTGGTATAATTTTTACTTATTTTACGCTTATTATACAGTTAAACATAATTACAAATTAAGGCATAATTACAATTTCGGCAATTTAGTGAAATGTAATAAATTTAAACTTAATTTTTTAATAATATTGTATGTTTGAAAACTTACACTTTGAGGAATATTAATAATAATATGGAAAATACAAAGGTGAACAAAATAATTGTTAATATATTGGAGAAAATGCAATAACGGTATTATATTGGTTATAATTAACCGTATTATATATTTACATAAAAAAAGTATTTTCGATAATGGAATTTTTTACAGATTTGTCATATTTTATAAATTACATATTATGCAGGACTTTATTGAATAATATTTATTATAAAATATTAAAAAAATTATATGTATTATAAACTGAATTTACAGCGCTTCTGTATTAATTAGTCGTCAATTATTGTCGACTTTTTTTTAGATATATTTTCTACTAATTTTATAATATATAATTGATTTAATAAAAACCTGATCAAGTAATTTTTGTTTGGAAATTGTTACATCAAAATCAATTTTTGAACGCTTAAATAAATGGGTTCTTCTCTTACGACGCATTATACAGAGAATCTAGTTACTGTCCAATTTTTTCTAAAAAAAAACGGCATGTTTAATGAATGTCGCGTATATGCAAAAGATTTAAAGTTATTTCTCTTTGCATGTACCCAAAATAATCCAAAAAATTTCGGAAGAAGTAGCTACAGAAAAAGGCTTTTATAAACAAGTGCAAAAAGCGATACAAATTTATTTTGTTGGATCACGGTGTGACATATACATATATCGAAAGTTATGCTTCTTATATCTTGAATATATATATATATATATAAACGATATTTATATAAACGATTCTATATAAATATAATAAAATCATCTCTATATAAGTATAAAAAAATTTTTTATATTGTATTTTTTTTATAAATAACCTGAATTACTCATAAAATATGAGTTACAGATTTCTCATCACAGGAATGTGATATGATAAAAAATTGTATAATAATCAACATATATGTTGTGATGCTGCTCATCATCTGAAAATAGTAGTAAAAAGTATGAATAATGTACATTTTATTAATTAAAACAAATAATTGATTATTTACTGCCGTGAGAAGCGATGCATCCATAGTAAAAGCTTTCATCGAAAATATATTTTTGCGATGCAGACTTTGTAAAGAAAACAACTGCAACTGCAACGTCAAATCGCAAAATAATGCAAGAAAAAAGAACTACTTTGAAAAGTGCAATTTTACTTAAATAAATTTAATATCCAAAAAAATATATTAATATTTCCAGAAAATTTAAATAAAATTGTGATTCTGTTACCTCATATTTAATTTGTTTGTCGCTGGTGCTATTAAGTACGTCATGAATTGTGGTATTGATCTTTTGAGCTTGATTTTTTCCGGTCTCAAGCCCATACAAGTAGCGTTATTTTCATAATATAAAATACCATGGACGTTAAAAGCACATCACAAATCTGCCAATCAAAGTTAATGAATACTCCATCTTTCTAGTTCACTAGATGGAAGTATAGTTCAATAGTGATTTCAATAAGAGACATAACTACAACAGCAAAAATTTGCGGACTAAATTTTGTGTTCATCATTTGTAATATTTCGCTAATTATTAGGTGCTGTTTTTGAAGAATCTTCAGTTTTATCAATAAAAATTGATTTCCCTGCATGTGCCAGATCAGCCCGGGGACACACTTTATATCTTTTACGACAAGTTTTTGCATATATACTAGACTGTCATTGATTCCTTTGAAACAAGATTTTAATACACAAACACAATTTACATACAACATACTCATTTGAAACATTATCAGTTCCAAGTACGTCATTAATATTACTTCCAGAACGTTTGAATAGATCAATTCATTCATTTTATAAAAAAATATGGATGATTTCACTATCAGCAAAATATTATCCAAGATGTCTTTGACATGAATCAATCTCGATAATTTCTGATACGATTCCGAAGGCAATTTTGAAGAAATTTCCAACATAGTTTGTAGCAAGCGCATTCGTGGGCCGCTCAAGACATGCGTGGTGCTTACAACGAAACCGCTGATTATATAGAAAGCCAAAATCTCCAAATTTTCAATTACGTTTTCAAAGTTTATTATTTTAGAAATGAAAATACGGTGAATCAATGCGAGATTTAAAATGCAGCACATACAAATAATCACAGTCGACATAATGTAATACGGTTTTGATGCCTCGAAGGTCAGAATGTTGATTTTATACGGAAATATTTCGAGAATACGACAAAAATTGAAGCAGGGATGCATTAAAGATAGAAAGTCCGTAGCATGAAACAGTTGCCATTTTTTCCGCATCTTAGCGTATTCTTGTATTTCTAAACTAAATAAAAACAAAAATTTGTGAGAAAATAACAGTATATTATGATAGATAATTTATTATTAATAAGCACTATATTAATAGAAACGTAATTGCTTTTTTTTAATTAATTGCATTTTTTCATAACAAATGTATAAACTAATATGTACTTTTATCCGACCTATCCTCGATGAGTTTAAACTTGAAACTACGAGCAACTGCTGCGTCAAATATAATGCTAAAGAAATCATTTGTTATTGATAAAGTAACCATAACATTCTTCGATCGACAATTATCTCTTGGGATAAATTGCATAAAGAATGTAGTATATGACTCAACAAATTATGTAAGCGTGTATAAAATAGGACAAAAACTGTGTAATATTAATTGCTTGATTTCTATCACGAATAATCCCAAAAGATTTATTAATGACTATTTAATGCAGAATGTAATATTTTCTTTCTTTGTGCATTAAAGATGTAAATATTTTTGTATTATATATATTTGATATTTAATATTATTTTTTTTATAAATTTATTTTTTATATAAACGCATTACTGTATAAAATTCTAGAATTATATTTATTAAAATTTTTAAAGTTATTTTCCTAAAATTAGAAAAACCTTATCAAAATTATTAGAAAATTATCAAATAAAATACCGCAATCTGCAAAATCTTTTTTATACACCTAAATTTGAAACTACGAGCAAATACTGTATGCTGCAAAGAAACAAAACTAATAAAACCGTTTGTTAACTGTGAAGTATCCATGGCGTACTTCGATCGATACTTATCACTCTTGGGATAAATTAATACAAATGATTTGTAATTTTTATAACATATGATTCAATAAACTCAAAGGCTCATCGCATTAATGGGCTAACTCACAACCGAACGTATGATATTGAAAATGCACGTATGATATTGCTATTTGTCTCAAAAGTTTCTTTTAAATGACGGTTTGCATTAGTGTTAGTAGCTCTTTAATCATTATATTATATGTGCTTATAGAAAGACATTGCAATATTCACATAAATAATAAGATATCGTCCGTTAGTACTGATCAATTTATAATAGGATACTAAATTTTTACTAAAATGATTATTACATACGAGCCATCTATTGAAACTTTTGAATCGACTACATATACAACGAACATAACATATTAACAAAAAATTTCTATAAAAATATAAACCATTGCATATTTTATTAATAATGATAAAACAGAGTTCATATATTTAAAACAGAACTTCATATATTTAAAGACATTTTTATATCACTTTATGTATACTTCTAATTAGATTGTGTAACATTAATTGCTGCTTCTTTGTCGCAAGAATGTGACATGTTCAAAAATTGTATCAAAATTAGTAAGTACGTGGTAATATTCCCCATTATCTAAAGTAAAACAAAAATTCATATAATAGATATTTTAATATTTATAGCAAATAATTACTTACTGCTGCGTCGCATCTAAAGTCAAACCTTTTATCGAAAATATATTTCTACGATGTAATAATTGTAAAGAAAATAGTTGCAACTGCAATATTAGAAAGATATGTTAAACGTTAAGATAGTTAAACGTTAGAAAAAAAATTAAATACAAGAAAAAAACATGAAATTGAAAAACGCAAATATGTACCTCAATAGATTTGATGTATAAAAAGATTGTGTTAGCATTAACATAATTACAAAAAAATATATAGATAACGTCATAATGTAGTTACCTCATATTTGATTTTCTCATCATTGGTACTATTAAGTAAATCGTGAATGATTGTACCGATATTTTGGGCTTGATTCTTACCCGTCTCACAGGCTCACACAATTAATATTATTTGAAAAATGTTATACGTTACGGACATTACAAACACATCAAAAAAGTTCCAATCCAGTCCAATAAGTACCCCATTTTGCCAACGCATTGCGTAGAAATACAACTTAAAGGTGATGATTAAAAAGGACATGACTATAGCAGCAAGAAGTTGCAGATTAAAGATCATATTCAACATTTTTATCGCGTAATCATTAGATATTGCTTTTTCAAAATTCTGAGTTCTATCAGAAAAAATTGATTTCTCTGTATGTGCCATATCACATTGGAGACACGTGGCTTCATATTATTTATTACAATCTTTTGCATGTGAACCAGATTGTCATCGATTCTCTTAAAACATGCTTTTAATATACAAATTTACATACAACAATTTATATACAACATAATTATTTGTAATACCAACAGACTAAAGTATGTTGTAGGTGTTCCAATTAGGATAGTGAAAAAATTGTCTTTTAACTCCACTACTTTAGAAAAATTTATGATTAATTGCACAACTGAAGATATTACCCAATATATCCTTAACGTGGATAAATCTGGACAGTTTTTAATACGATTTCGAGGGTAATTTTGAAGAGATTTCCATTATTGTCTGTAGCAAGCGCATTCGCGGACCACTCAGAAAATGTGTAATGATCACTATAAAACTAGTGAAAACATAGTATAACAGCGTGAATAATCCAAACCAGATTTTCATAATTTAATTTTGATTTAATAATATTGTCAACGTGCAAGGTTTATAACACACAAAATACAGATAATAATGGTTGACAGGATATAGTATGCTTTTGAAAACTCAAAAGTCGAAATGTTGAGATTTTGAACGGAAATATTCCCAGAATTCGACTACAGATGAAACAGGGGTACATTAAAGAATGGAAGTCCATTGCATTACACAACCACCATTGTTTCCGCATTTTGATTTTTGCGTTTATCCTTGACATTTTGAATCTAACACGATTATAAAAATTTATAGTGGATTATAACATTTTATATCAGATATACAATATTATTAATTATATGCACTTTAATAATAAAATAGATGCGATTGCGAATGTTTTTTTTTAAGTATATAAGTTTTAAGTTGGTTTCTTCCTAAGAAGAATGAAATGATATGGTTTTTGCGTTTGATCTATACTCGATGAATTTAAGTTTGGAATTGCGGGCAAATACTGCATGCAGCAAAAAAAACAAAACTAAAGAAATCATTTGTTAGCCGTAAAGTAACCATAGCGTTTTCGATCGGCGCTTACCACTCTTGGGATAGATTAATATACATAAATGATATATAATTCTTATATATCAATATAACTCAATAATCTGAAAGGCTTATTGCAATAATGAGCCAACCTACAACTGGATGTGCGTTACTGAAAATGTATGAATAACAGGCTCTACTGTTTGTCTCAAATAAGGTTCTTTTTTTAAATATAGATTAGTTTACTGTTACAGTAAGCCCTTTAATCATTATACATACTCATATGGAATATAGACACTATAATTTTTATTAAAAAATAACTTACTTACTGTATTGAAATTTTTGAATCAATCATTTTAAACATATTATGTCTTTAATAGATACCTTTTAAGCATCAAAATTTAGTTATGAAATTTAGTAGTTTAGCAGTTTTTAAGTCCTTTAAAATTTTCGGCATGCAATCCATATGACTATAAATACTGATATGTATAGAGGAAAGTTCCTATTATGAGATAGGCGCTTAATATGAAATAGCGACGTGTTTGTTAAATTAATAAACGCTATCTACTGGTTTCACCATGAAATTATTGTTCTTAGATTGAAAACTATTTAGTGGAAAATTCATTATTAGATCGTGCCTGTAGTCGTTGCAAAAAAAGATTTTAGAATTTGGATGTCTTCAAGTTTCGTTGAGATGAGCTTTCAAACCTTATTTATTATTTAATAAGTAAATATTTGATAATAAATTCTTCATGTGGATAAAGTAAGATTGTATTAATAGAAAAATACGTCATATGTTGAATTGCTTACTTACAGAAGTTAGATTTGATAATCATAAAACCATGAGGCGTGAAAATCATAATATGAAATACCCAGTACATTTCTAATATAAAATAACCTATGCTCTTATGTCATAATGAAAATCATTGCTGAAGTATAAACATTATTGCACAATAATAAAAAGGACAATTGAAATAAACATCGAGTATATTTCTGCGATGCTTGGTTCCTACTACCTGAAGACGAGTCAGCTAGGTATTT